TCTCGCTGCTAGATCACCACGGTAGCTAGCTAATGCTATAGGAACTCGCCAATACGGAGGCGAGGAAAAATCATGAAACGGCGGGTAGGATGGAGAATATATGGGAACGTTAATTACACGGAAGATGATTAGGCTCTCGCGGTGACGATGACTATGCAAGGGATGTCTAGATCTACACGATAGACCCTACATCTGCCAGCGAGACGCCTTCTACCTTTAGATGGTCAGGCACATAGGCAACATGTGCGCCAATCCGAGACGGGTGGATGATAGCCTTACGACAAAGATCAGGAAAAAGAGTCAGCCGTCTTCGAGTAGACCATTTTCCTGTGGCCAGATTCCCTCGGATGATTTCAAGTGAGGCTTTTGACCTGTTTCGAAATGGAGTAAGGAGAAGCCACAGGGTTCCTAATCTTTCTTCTCTTCTAACGAGGCGTCTTGGAGGTCCGATGTTACGCCCTCAACTTTAGAGTCGGTCTTGTCTCCATTGACACCGTTAGAGGTGGCAGCTCCTGAAGCTTCCGCGGCCTCTTCAGCCTCCAGCTTCTCAATCTCCTTCTTTGCTTTCTCAACGTTCTGGGAAGGGTTAGCAAAAAAGTGTCAATATAATAAAAGGACATTGGCGACCTACTCGTTGCGTCTCTGTCTGCTGATCAGCCTTCCAGTGATCGAGCTTTGCCTTTACTTTCTCGATGACTCCTGGAACATCAGTAGCGCTCATGGGGGGATCGACACCTAAGAAGCTGCAGTCGTCGATGACCGAAGGTGGACAGTTGAAACCACTCTTCTCCGCAGCGACCGACTTCTTGCCCTTCTTTCCTTTCTTAATAGCCGGGAGGTAGTCGTCATCACGGTCTTCCTTTCGCACTAGCTTGGTACCCTTCAAGCCAGAATCGTCAACCTTGCGCGAAGCTTGAGCAGTCAAGCCACTGTCGGCGAGCAGGGGAGCCTTCTCAGCAGAGGTAGATGAAGGGTCGAAGAAATGAAGCAGGCTGTTAGCGCGACGGATCTCCTCAAGGTAGGCTGGGTCGCTGGCCTCTTGTAGCAGCTTCTGAGCGCGCTCCTTTTTCTTCTCCTTTTCAAAGCGCTCGCGTTCAGCTTGGTAGCGCTCTCGAACCTTCTGGCGCGCCTCGCGCTCGTATTCACCGTAGGCCTTCTTCGCGGCGTAGTACTCGTCCTTCAACTTACGCACGGCCTGGAATTTCTCTTGTTGCTCAGCTTGTAGTTTGCTCCGCTCATCGCGCAAGGAATTGAGGTTTTTGAAGGCCTCGTCTTGCTCAGCCTTGATGGAGTCCAGTTCGCCCTGGACCTTGGAGTAGCGGTCACTGAGGGCACGAGATTCGGGGTCATCCATGCTATCCTTGATCTCCTTGATCTTGGCCTTCAAGTCATCGATCCCCTTTTGCGAGTTATCGAACTGGGCAAAGTTCTTGCGCTGCTTGCGCAAGTTGGAGATTTCATTCAAGGCCTTCTTCTCGTCGACAAGCTTCATCAGGCCGCTGTTCACTTCCTTGTCGAGGGCCTCAATCTTACGGTCGATGTCCTCAGCGCTCTTGAAAGCAACCTTGCCACGAGCGTTCTTCTGTTCGGCAATGCGGGATCGGAGCTGTTCGTCGAGGCGCTTAATCTGATCGAGCTTCGAGTTGCGGGCATTCTTGCCCACACCTTGCTTGTTGCGGATTTCATTGGCCTCGGCGATGAGTTCCTGGCGGCGCTTCTGGGTAGGCGACGGGGCATCCTTATTCTTGTTGGGGGTGGCGAGCTCGACCTTGGCCTTGATGGCGTTCTACAGACGAAGGCGTAAGCATGTGCCACAAGCAGTGCAGGCCAAGATCAAGCACTACGACGTACATATTTGGCCATGGAGTCCTGATATTCCTTCTCCGCCTTGGCCAAGTTCTCATTGAACAGCTCGGCATTGGGCTTCTCGGGTTTCTCGATCTTCTTCTTGTCTGCCGCTGCAGGCGCAGCAGCAGCGGCGGCGGGGGCGGTAGCAACGTCGGCCATGGTGGAAGAAGATGCAGCCGCCAATTGTGTTGTGGCAGACAAAGAACGAATAATACCTAGTATATATAGTATATATAGTATACTAGAATGCAAGAGTACGGAAAAGAAGAGGGTAGGGTTACAGCTATGTAAATCCTCTACACTCTGCTGTCAATGTATATAAGAAAAAGAGAGGAGGGAGGGATATAACAGGCCAGAGGCAAGTACAATGATCGGCGGCCTGAAGAGAGGAAGGCCAGATCTCAGGGTCCAGAAGGCTGTCTGTCAGTCCTCAAAAGTGCCCTTAAGTTTTTGGCCCAGCGGATGGAATTTTTCTGGTTGTTCTTGGCATGGATTTGGGGTGCAGCACCACTCCTAATTCTTGACCCTCTAATTCACCAATCAAAAGCCGTCTTTTATGTGGCCTGGGCGTTTTGAGGTGGGGCACTGTCCTGTCCCGCACCTACCTCATACATACTTATAGATAGGTTTTACCGACCTGAATCGGAATGGGAATTTTACCTGAGCCATGCCGCTTTCAGCCTGAGCCGAGCCTGAGCAAGACCCGCTTGTGTATAAGTCAACCTAAATAAATTTGCATAACTTTCAATTACACAACCTCCAAAACGGATTCTGGAGTTAAACGGATTAAATTAGGGACTTTACCTGAGTGACCCCACTTTCAGCCGGAGGCTGCACTTGAGCCCGTCCCGAACGAAACCCCACCTATGCATAAAGCTGATTATAAGATAACGGAGGATTACGGTGGTCTGCCGTGTCTGCGTATCCAAACGGAGCAATTTCTTACTTCTTGGCGACTGGAGTAGTGAGCGACCTGAAGCAACTTCATGAACACTTATCATTTTCACAGCCAACTATTCACTCAATACATAAATCGATGTATCACTAATAGATTCCTTCCAAGTTTCTGCCTTCAAGAGGTACAGCCCGTCAGATCAATCGGAAAATCACGTGTCCCAACCAACGCTTTCCTTCGCCGCCCGTCCCCTGCAGACTTGCAACGCCTTCTAACGTGTCTGGCAATATGATCAGGTTCAGCAGCAAGATGTTTACGCTCTAAGCGCAGGACTTCATCATCAATAGTTGCTGACTTCAAACATCCCGCAGTTGACAGCCAGCGGTCTCGGGTTGTCAAATCATTAACCCACGCATCGCATTTCCATTCAACCCAGTAGTCAACCACCCCATCCCAGTGCTTTCTAGGCGGCCCTTTCTGGTTGATATACAACACAAGGCCATCATTCTTGTGAGCAAGTTTCGCGAATTTTCTAGTGAGTTTCTGGATGCCATGGAGTATAAGACTCGTCCCAAGGATCAAAAGCAAGTCGACATCAAGGGACAAATTATGTTGAATTATCTCTGCGATCGTCTGGGCCCGCAGGTCTAGCTCGTTTTATAGGAGGATGCCTAGTCGGAGAAGTCCTAGCTGTAGTGTACGGCCCCTTCTACTTGTGGTAGGACAAGCTGGACAGGGAGGAAGTTGGAAGTTGCCCATGTGCCGCTGGGCTCCGCAACTGGGACCAACTGCATTGCTGTCTACATTTTATGCACCGAAGCAAACGAATCGATCCATGCAATTGCACACATTCAACGCCTCGAGGCAGAGATGGTTGAAGTGGCGCTGTTGTGTCAGAGGTAGGGTCGGAAATGAAAACACCTGGCCCTTTGCTTACGTCTATGCAAAGGCCTGCTTGCTCTTCGAGGCACTCGATATTCTGCGTATATGTTCTGACGAGTTGGCCACTTTTCAATAGATCCATAAGGAATCAATGCGGTAGGCTTGGCTGACTAGTCTCTGCATGCTCAAATAGTTCAAGGCAGAGTTTGATCAGTGCAGGCCCGTCTGATGGATGGGAAAGAGCCGTTTGCTGAAAGAGATCTCGAGTCTTGACACCGGGTCGATTTAAGTTCAATGATTCGAAGTCCTAGTCCTGTGAGCATTACCGAAACTCAAGGGGTCTTTATTCTTACTGGGATGCCCGCACTGGTACTGATGTCAGCACCTGTGATAGCGATAACTCGATTCGACCTTGCTATCACCTTAGCCAACTCCTCCAAAGTATCATGAGACTCGGCAGTAGTGTGGCAGACAGTCTGAAGCATGGTTGCGGATAGGTGGTGAAATTGGAAGCTTCAGGGGTGGATCGTCTAGAAGCGGTGCTTGGGTAGGAAATCCAGGATATTATCAGATAGGGAGCTTTCGAGTATTTATTCTCGAAGAAGATTTTGATGGCGATGATGATAGAAAGGGGAGGCCTCTCTTCTGTTGGTTGCAACCATCCAGCTTTCAGCACTTGACATGGCCACAAGGAAGCTGAGCTACAAGGGTAGATATAACGGACGACTTCCTGGGAAGTCGTTTTACCTATAATAGGCAGGCGATGGGCTTTTAGTATTTGACTTGGCCTCAAGAAAGCTGGCCTGAGAGGGTATTATGCACCCGGTCGAGGCGTATGACGGATGACTTTCTAGGAAGCCGTGTATTTTAAATGCTTGATAGGCGAGCTGTGGGCTTCTAGTATTTGACTTGGTCCCGAGGAAGTTGGCCTAAGGGGGTATTATGCACTCTATCGAGGCATATAACGGATGACTTTCCAAGAAGTCGTTTATCCTGGACATCTGATAGGCGAGATTTGGGCTTCTAGCACCCGACCTGGCCTTGAGGAGGTGGCTAAGGAGGCTGTTTGGCATCACATCGAAGTGTATGGCGGATGACTTCCCAGGAAGTCGTTTATCATAAGTATTAAGCCTTTATAGGCTGACAGCAAATATTTGGCTTAGACGATGGCCAAGGAGGTAACCAATGTAGGCACACTCGGCCGGCCATTCCATTGAGAGCATGTCCCACACAGCGTTTGCGCGAGCAATACCCACAACAGAACTGGCTGTGAGGGAAATCGGAAGGAAGCTGATAGCTAAATAGTACATGGTTGTAAAGTCAGCAAAACGGTACATTATATATGGCAATAAGCAAGTTTTCGCACAATCAACTTGGTTGGTTAGCTCAGTTGGTTAGAGCGTCGTACGTTGCGCTTGACATTCCTTTGCTTAATTAACAATAAAAACTAACCTGCCCTAGGTACTAATAATGCGAAGGTCATGAGTTCGACCCTCATACTGACCAGATTTATCTTTTTACAATTTTTGTAATTACGGTTACACTATTTAGATAACCCTGCTTTTCTTTTATGTGGGTGACAAAAGGCAAGTAAGATGTGTAGTGAGTTCTGCGTCGTTTTACATCGAGTTATAACCATCATAATTTTTTAATAATGCCTTCGTTTGATTCTTAGCATTTATCCCTCACGAGTTCCTAATTCTGATCCCAAAGCAATACAGTAGAGAAAATTGACCTAGGGTAATTGCGTCTGCCCCGCCAACATTTGGACCCCGCGAGAATGGGATCAGTATAGAATATAGACTGGTACATAGTATGATATTGTACTAGTACGTTCAAGACCAGTACGATTTCAAGGTACAGAATAGCACCAGACTAGGACCATCCCAACTATGGACCAGTACGGAGGCGACCCAGTCCCGATATCATACCAGTCTTAACCCAAAATACGTACTGATCTTGACAGGATTGGTACAGTTTGAACTCACAGAATGGCACAACGCTGACCGGTACAAGGGGAACCTGGGGACTGGTACGATAATCGAACCGGTTTGGGTTTGAAAACCCGAATACTACTGAAGGCCCAGTACCATTCTGAGCTTCGCACCAGTTCATTGTTCGGATGGGGGGCCGCGATTGGCATGAATTTAAGTATTTTTAAGGCTTTGGGACATTCCTGACACAAGTACAGAAACACCGTTTCGGCTTCGTTGCTTGACATGGACAATTCCTTCCTAATCTTATCCCATATCTGCGCTCGGTGCCCAACTCCCTTTTCGTTAGCGGTCTTGTGGAGGTAAGTAAATATTGTCCAATGGGCATGCCTACCGAATGTAAGCCTGACCAACGCCTTCAGATCCGAGCCGCATTCGGTTCGCCAAACTTTGGTGACGATGCATTATGCAACTCGGTTTGCTTCTTCCTGGGGGGCGCATTGCTGATAGTCGTCCAGTCTTCCCCCCTTGCAAGAAGATTAATGAGCTTCTTGTCCTCCTCCGGTCGCCATCTGCTACCTGGCTGCGGTGCAGCACTTCTGTTCGACGCTTGGAGGAAGACGAAAGGCATTACGGTATGCAGTCGAAAAGAGGGTTTATTGGTCGAAAAAAATAGCCAAGATGAGATAGCATGTTGTATGTTGTTTTTCTATTCCTATATTTATTTTATCTGCTGACTTCAAGTGTGGCGAATGCTACCTTAGTACGTTACTATAGGCTGATTCCGTACCCAGATCTAATTTTGGACCCCGGGCCGTTTCCGTACATCAAGTCTCGAAATGCTGGTAGACGCCTCTGGTCTTGGGGTCGAGGCCGAATATATAATACTACAAGAATATTTATACAGAAAACCTGCTATCTTTCCCCAAAACGTGATGCTAAGACTTCATTGTACCACAATCACTTTAGCCCACCTTTTTTTTTTATCCCAACGCAAAGAAGATATGCTGGCTATTCTTCCCGCTCTCTTGATTGCTGGCGTGGCAGGTTCAGACATTGCTCTTACGGGATCTGCTGGCATCGGCCTCGAGATCGGAACAATCACGAATACTGATGATGGCTACGGTTATTTGACTGGCTCCGCCGTTTCGACTATCCTTCTTTCGGCTTGCCTGCCAACTACCACTCGAACTTATACAGTTCCTGTCAACTCCCCATGCACCACACCTGGAGCTAAATAAGTTCCAGGAAAATAGTTAGTCATCCAGTAGGTGTCCCAAGTGATGCTTGTTACAGTCACACGACAGCTTTGCTCTTCAACGAGCAGAAACGGCCTGCAGTTGACTGGCTCAACTTTCTCGAGCTCGTCAGCTGCACGGTCCACAATCAGATCTTTCGGGAACTCGCTGCCTTACCCAGCATCTGGGGCTCCGTCTGCTCCGTCTGGTGCTCCGTTTGGCTCTGGCTGGAGCAGCATGGTATCTTGCAAGACCAGCACATCGCTACACCCATACAGCGGCCCAGATTGGATTCATAAGTCTAGCAGCCCACTTCGCCCAACGCCTACGACGATTACCAGTTCAAGAGCAAGCTCGGCTCCTACTCGGACTAATATACCGATACAGCTAGCACCCACAGAATCAAAGGGCTTGGGGCAAAGTGTCTTGTTTCAACAGGCCTGGTTCGCCTTATCGATCACCATATCTACTATTTTGTTTTCCTGTCTCTAAGTCTCGAAAGCACACCCTTGGTCTTCTTGTGTCGGATCTATAGGCTTTTAATTTGAAGGACACTCAGTTTGTCGGTATTTCAGAATAGTTAGTTATATTATGTAGAATCAAGTCTGTCTAGATCGTTTCTGTGGCTTCTCTATATCTATCTCCATTTTCCTTTTGCTATAGGCTTAACTGGGACTATGAACCCCTTTTCCCACGACTCTCTGATGAGACCCAATGCGTTTTTCCTCATCTGTAGTGCACTCTCTAACTCAATGCCTCTAGTGTTGAAAACTTCTCTATTAAGCATCCGCTTAGTAGCTGATGCAACAACAAGGGGACCACAGCTAGAACTATCAAGTTGTTGTGAACAGTTTTGCCATAAAAATTGCAAAAATTGATAAATCTGGTCAGTATGAGGGTCGAACTCATGACCTTCGCATTATTAGTACCTGTGGGATGTTAGTTTTCATAGTCAATTTAGCAAAGGAATATTGAGGGCAACATACGACGCTCTAACCAACTGAGCTAACCAACCGGTTGATTGTTAAGGGTGCGAGGTTAATTCAAGCTGTGGTATTGCCGCGATCGGCCCTATTGTTTGGATGAGTTAGTAGACCAATCATGGGCATATATGGTCACCAGTCACGCTGTTGGGATGGATGCTCGGAAACCGTTTTATTCAGCAAAGTCTGTGTCGGTTTATGCTTGTCATTTCACATTCTTCGAGGTTCTCCTAGTCCCATGGCAAGATGGATGCGGATGGTCCATCTTTTGCACATTAAGCCTTCTTTCTGACGATTGATGATTCTAAAGCAACAAGTTCGTCTGAAAACCATCATGCTAATAAAGACGCGCCACTTGTCCGATAATTCTAGAAAATCTCGAGTTTGAATTATGCAACAATGTTTGTGGTGCATCAAACTCCATCAAATGGCCATCTTCGAGTAAAGCGGCCTTATCGTAACGGATAATATGCGTCAGGCGATGCATCACTGCGATGACATCTTGCATGATAGCCTCCGTCTTGGTGTCGACACTGGTTGGTTTCATGTCAGTAGCTGCGATTAAATGCTTGAAATGATAAACCTTACCTGCTCGTTGCTTCGTCGAGTATCAAGATCCCGCTATTCCTTACCATCGCTCTTGCAAGACAGAGCAGCTGCAGGTGTGAGCGGCTCTGGGAGACTTCTTCGGCTCAAGACATTGAGATGAACGATTATCGTCCTGCAGTTCGTACCGATTATCGTCCTGTAGTTCGCACCCGACCTAAACCTAAGCGTAAACATCAACGGAAGCAGAAGGCGAGAGATAAGATCAACGCCTCAAGGTCTCTAGCAAAGAGGAGTTCGGCTTTGACAACTTTCATCCCGGATCCTCCGGGTGTTGACCCTACCAATACTAGCCAGCTCATGTTGCTGGCGAACAGTGCTCAAATGATGGCAATGGATAGATGTCGGGGAATTCCGACGTGATGCCATCATTGAAGCTATAGCACAGGTTCGACGTAGCAATCCAGATCGAGAATGGTTTTTGTACAACAAAGATGGTCGTGGCATTGCTTTAGAGGATTGCCCTACCCACGAAGATGACTTTATCTGTCTGGATACAGATTCAAGCGGCTTCCCAGCAGTGTACATGTAATTGTAATATAAGAATTCACCCAGTTTGTTGGCGAGTTAAATTATGGCGCGGAGAGTGTGCTAATGTATTCAAAAATGATTTTTCTGCCAGCGTCGATTGTGTGCGCGATATGTGGCTTGTGATGAATGATATATGTGTTTCCTCGATATACCTGATGTAAAAGGCACGAACTCTCAGCCCGGACAGGTCCAATTAATAAAGGAGTATTGCACTTAATGAGGTATGAGCTGAGGCCAACCCTAGGTACAATGTAGGTAGACACCGAGAAAGCTGATTCACGGCGATGCGGAGAGAGAAACGGAGGTGAGGGCCGATTGCTGACCGTTCTATTTGCATAAGATGCATGCACAAAAAATCCGGCTGGGGCCTGATCTAGAACTGAGTTTCCCCTGAGCAAAAATGGCGTTGCGCTAAGCCCTATACGATGGGTACTTTGAAAAGCGGTAAAACCTGGTACCGGACAAGTACTCTAGGTTAGCTACAGTACATCTATAACAGGTACTTACCAAGATACATGCAGGTACCTACCATAGTATCTAGATAGTGGGGACCCCAGCGGCTGGCGACCCCCTGCAACGCTACTGGAATTTTTTGACCTGAGAGAACAAGGCTGAGACAACCTCTCTGGTCATTATTGTCTGGTCATCAACCTTGCTGCAGCTTCCTTCTTTACGCAGATTACCAAACAACCCGCTGTCCCAACTCTCTAGTCTCTTGCCCTGCGTGAATACGGTTAATCGAATAGTTCCTGCGCGGAGTGATCCCGATCGGTGCGACCATGGCGGACTCGGAGAACGTGAATTCGGAGGCGAACGAGAGGAGCATAGTGAAGGCCTGGCGCGCATGGCGAACGGCCCACGAGATGGTCCAAGACCGGGTATGTCGAATTGATGCCAGACACCAGCTGTAAATATGTGCAAGAGAATTACTGATGGACTCAGGGCTACTTACTGGCGGAGGAAGAGGTCAAGATCTCTCTCGACGCATTCAAAGCACAATACACTAGTGTAGATGGGAGTGTCTCGTACGTGAACCTTTGACATGGTAAAGTCTCTGACACGGAGCGTATCCTGGCTAATCAGAGTTCCATCCAGCCGCGAGAGAATGAAGTTCTCTGCCCGCCCGAGCGATGAAATGACGAAGAAATACACACCACCCGCAACCCCCAGCAACCCCGACCCGCAGCCAGATGTCGGTACTATCTGGGTTGAGT